TCAAAATATGTACACATGTATAATATACATTTTCATTATTTATTCCATAACACTTCTAATATTTAAAAACTTAATTTCCAAAACACTGACACTTCTAAGTACATACAAATATCATCTTACATTCAACTTAGATGTCGCTACATAACAGTAGGAAATAATATTTATCTATGTGTGTATGGTTGTATTTAAATCTACATAGATATTACATAATTATATTTATATTGATTTTTCTACTTATCACCGACACGTGCTTCTCACTTCCTTATATTCAAGATATTTTCTTACCTAAGCCGTAAATTTTTTTTTTTGTACAAAATTTATATAGTAAAAATAAAAAAAAGCAAACATAAAATAAAATAAATTATTGCAATAAATCTGGGGACCATTAAAGAGTATCGGAAAGGATAATGTCGAATACAAAAAGTAAATATTAAAATATCTACCTACCTAACTAGCTAGCATTATGTGTAAAATACTACAAGAAAAGAAAAAACAAGAAAAATTAAAATAGAAAAAAAAAAAATAAGTCCAAGAATTTCTAAAACATTGAACTCCCGAAGCAAAACAAAAAACAAACAATGTAACAAAAAACGTGCAAATATAAAAAAAGTAAAAGAAAAAATTACAGGGAAAAAAGATGAAAAACTAAGAGACATAAAGAAAAATCACCATAATTGGCGACGACTTACTGTTGTGAATCTTTCAACAGAATTTAATGAAAAAAAAAATAAAAAATAAAAATAAAATCGTAAGTCGTAACTTGTCACATTATAATAACTGTGTGTTTGTATGTATATATAGTCGAACCCCCCTAAAACGAACTTCCACAGGACGAAAACTTTCTTAACACGAATTTTTTTGTTGCACTTTACATCATTATTTTTTTTTTCTTATGCGTACACAATAACGTAAATTCTATCTAACATGAACTAATTTTGTTGTAAATTGATAATACGTAAGGAACAAAAATAAAACCCCACTTTAAAAAAACAAAAGTACTCTTTCCCAAAGAGAGTGCTACTTTACACGGTGGCTGATATTTCATTGGGTGTCAAATTTTATTTTTAAAAATAATCACAGAAATTTACATAATATTTACAAACGTCCATTACGATATTTACGATAAGATAAACTTAGACCAATAAATTGGATAAAAAGAATATCGAATAGACTAATTAAAATAATAATGTACATATATCCATCTATAAGTATGTAAATATTTATAAATTTTGGGATATAAAAGGAAGAGGAAAAAATTGAGTTAATATTGCGAAGGTTGTACTGTATACATCACGAACACATTGAATAGATAAGACATAATCCACATAATTCAAGCAAAGTATTGTAAAGCACTCTTTAAAGCCAAAAGAGAATATACGAATATTCCGTCATTTTTCATTTCAAGTTTTAATTTTCTTGTAGTTTTTCCTCATTTTACTTTTTTTTTTCTGTATTTTCTTCATATTCTTATATTTCTTCTGATTTTTTAGCTTTTCTTTTAACTTTTCTATTTTCATTTCAATTTGGTGATCTTTTCTTTTTTACGTAATTTTTCTTTTTTGCCCTTTGTTTACATTGAGAAAATATTCCTGATGTCGCGCATAAAAATCGTAAATAAAAAAAAGAAGATAAAACAAAAATAAAAAAAAATATCCCTGGAAAAATAAATCAGGAAAAATACTTTTTTTCCTGCACAGGTTTTTGTAATTAAGGAAATTTTTTAGTAATAACAAATAGATTATAGAGTTTAGAAATTACATGAGTACGCACAATTACGTACATACACACAAAGTATGTATTTCTAGTTTAAAAGATGAAAGGGTTCTCTTATTTTAGTTTAATTGAAGAAAAATCTGATATATTTTTCGAATTACCCTAAATATCATCATTTCCATTAATTGGAATCCATTGGTACATATAAAAAATATTTAAAATTCACCGACGAAAAAATTCAAAACTGAACGACAACACTTTTATGTATATAAAAGTATATAAAAAGATATTTATATTTTCAATAACAAAGAGTAAAATGACAGCTGAACTGACAACAAAAACAAAACATATCTATACATAGGTATGTAATCACTGTTTTTGTTGAAAATTCAACAAAAACAGTGAGTACAATAACAAAATCTCTAGGGAAATACCTATACATACATCAATTATACCCAAAAGCTTTAGTTTTCTATATCACAAATTTCATTTTTCTTTTAGAAACTACAAAATATATAAGCTTTTTTTTTTATTTATTGGACAATTTTCTCTCAAAATACCAATGCATATTATCTATTCCCTTATTAACAAATCGAAAAACTAATGAGTACTACTGGACGGTGAGATTTGCAGAAAACTACAATGCAATTTTTTATACCATATAAAAACATATAGTTGACTACAAAAATTTTTTGTTATTAAATATCAAAAATGACTCTTAATACAATGATAAAGATAAAAAAATGCATTTGTACAATGGGGCTAATCAAATTGTACAATGATGTTCTTAAATTCTATTCTTCGAACTGAAAATTGTAATTTTAAATATTGGAACACAGATGCAGCAAAAAGCGTATATGGACGAAGGCATTTAAAGAATCTACTTTGTAATAGAAGGCTTAGTTTAATATAAAATTTACAGAAAACTGGAGAAAAAAAAACAACATAACTTGTTTAAACGCTCCGTAGACCACAGTCCATTCTATATGATCTCAATACAGACAAAAAAAAACTCTACTAAATTTTTATTTTAATGTCTATCATTTCATTTTCAAATGAAAATTTCAGAAAGTACTTTTTCTGTTTTTAAATTTTCCATTTTTATTTATCTTATCCCCCTCAATTCTTTACTTTGGTTAAATTCAATTCAATTCCATTAAATACTTTCAATATGCAAAATCTATTCTGTAGTTATTGTAGAATCTGTTTATTTTACAAATTCTAATTTATTAAAAAAATTTAAACAGAAGTAGATGCACAATTGCAATTACAAATGGAAGCACGCACACTAAATTAATATTTTCTCCATGTTTGTTTTTTTTTTGTGGTAATTATTTTGCTTGTATTGTGGTTAGAATCCAAAATGTAGTATAAGAATTGCATTTTCTTCTCTCTTCTGTTAAATAAAATTGAAAATATAAAACAGAAAATATGAAGCAACAACAAAACTACATTTTAAAAAAATATTTTGTAGCAGTCATGACTCATGAGAAAATACATTCTGCAAACTAACACTTTTAGATCCGTTTAAGCAACCGTAAACATTAAAATAAACACAACTACAAAAATACTGTTTGTTGTCTCCGCTACTCTGTACAACTTCTTCTTTAAGATTGTAGTAGTTTAAAAAGAATTTCTTTGTGTTTGTAATTTATCGTATTTACATTTGGGCATGAGATTGAATACATGTCTGCATTTGGAAATAAATACATGTGTATGTCGTGTTAATAAAATATCATATATATGTACATATTTCGTTATTAAAATTGAAAAGAAATTTTGCCGGGTTTTATTATGTTTTAAAAGATTTTTGTTTTTGTTTTTAATGTTTTTAAAATATTCTTTTTCTTATTATTTCGCCTTTTAAATTTTATGCTCTACGTACGATGCATGACGAAAAGAAGACGAAAACTCTACTCTAAGCAAATGAAGACTACATAAAAACAATAATAAATAGAATATGTATGCATGTACATATGTGCATACTTATGTATATGCAAAGAAAATAACAAGAAAATTTAAAAGGGAAAATTGTGATGTAACTTTCGATTTTTCCTTAACTTTTTTTTTTCTTCCGCTTTTATGGTGTTTTATTTAGAGCGGTGGCATGTTAGTGCTAGTGCCCCTCTCTCGTTGCTGTTATAAAATTTTATTTCTCATATACATATTTTGTTTTTGTTTCTTTTTGCTGCTTTTGGTAAAAATGTGGTCCCTATGTTTTCTTCTTGTTTTTGTAATTCGTTTTATTTTCTTAACATACTCAGTTTTTTTTATTGTTTTGTTTTTTTTTTTTAAAGAAAGTTATGTTGTCTAAGTTTTTTGGAATATAATTTATGCTTTTCCGTTTTTAAAATTTTGGTTTATGTCAAAAAAATAATCAAGAATGAAGGAATCACAAAACTAAAAAAAATACAACATTAAAATTTGTAATAATAACAACAAAAATAATATCAAGAAGAAGACAAACAACAAAAATTAGAAAAAATCAAAGAGAAATAAATGTGGAACTGGTTTTATGATTATTCAGCACAAAAAAAATTAAGATGTCTTCTGATTTCTAAACAAAAATAAAGAAAGAAAAAAAACAACCTCTTTAAAAGAAAGAATACATACAAAAATTTTGTAAGGGTTTTGGTTAGATTAGATTGGATTAAAAGGAAGAAGACAGAACAATTTTCAAGTGCTTTTCAAAAGAGTAGAATAGAGACTAGTGGAGAGTGGAGAAAAGAAGAAAAACATTAAATAAAAATTATCGAAGTGAAAAAAAAAGAAATATAAAATAGAATAGTAGTGATGATGATTATCAGACATTATTATTTGCCTGCTCTTCTTAATATTATCTAAAGGGAATTTTACGATACATGAAGCACAATTATTTTGTTGTCATGTTCTTCAATAAAAAAAAAAAACAAAACCAAAAACAGAACAGAATAAGAAAATCATGATGAATATGCGGTGTGAATAAATTATTTATTTGTGTACATTATGTATAGGTATACTTAGGTATGTACGAGTATATAACATATGCGCATTGTACATACAACCATACTTATTTTAGAACACGTAAGTTTTTTAATAAACATTATACATATTATTATTTTATGCATGTTTCTCATATACTCATTTATATTGTACACTCATATTAGAGTAGTAGAGTATAGTAGAATATTATCAGGTACAAGTGTATATTATAAATTTTTTATTAGCTTGCAATAAGTAGATATAAAATTTAGTACTTGTATGATATTTAAAAAAAAATAAAAAAATATATGTATATAGGCACTTACTTAAATCCTTTATCATCATCGATTCCATTTACAATAACCCCATTTGGGGCATTCACTTGATCATCTTTCTTTAAACCATTTGAATCAAACGGAGAATTTGCTTTGTCTTTATCATCATGGCTCTATGAATTTAAAAAAAAAAAAACAAATATAGGAAATTAATATTTAAAAAATAACCGAAAATATAATAATATTCTTTATTTATATAATATGTATACAAAAAAAATTAAATATATGTACATACATTCATAAATTTAATTGTAATGCAGAAGAATAGAAGAAGGAATTCCGTAATTTTTTTATAAATAATTAAAATAATTTAAAATATAAAATTTAAAAATCTGAACAACTTAAACATTGAGTACCAATTTTACTAATTTTCGTAATTAGAATTTGAAAGGCGAATGTAATCAAATGAGTGAAATGGAAATAAATGGGTTAATCATGTAGTCAAGTGTTTATTAAAATTTAATTTCTTATAAAAATTTCCACGCGTTTCTTACAAAATAATTTTGAAAATTATTCCCAATAGTTCTTGTCAATGAATTTTAATTGAAATTTATCAAAATGAAATTAATTCTTTTACGGTATAGGTACGTTACTGTATATATGGTGCATTACTGTATGTGCAGTTTCTGTTCTATACAATTATGAATAAATACTCGTAACACTATTAAATTTAAAACAATTTTAATCAACCACTTAGTTTTTATATTAATAATTTGCATGTACTAAGATTAATTAAAATAGAAAATTAATGAAAATTGTTTAAAAAACTTAATCAATAAAATATTTATATTAAACCTATAAAATTTATTGTAGATTTTATTTATTTCAAATTTAATATCGTATTTATTTTACCTTATCACCATCATCGAATTTTAAAGCACGAAGTCTTGGCTCAAGACTTGACAATGGACTCTCTTTATTTGTTGGTGAACCACCCAATACATATTCGACCATTTTAACACCTAAGCCGCTTGTTGAATCTCTGGGGCTGTAAAGAATCAAACAAAAATTAAATTAATTAATAAATGACTAAAAATTTTAATTAATATTAAGATTAAATTTTAATTATTCTAAATAATTATTATTATAATTAATTGAAATTTTTCAACATTTTTGAATATATACATACATCTATAACAATAATTTACCTTAAAATACCAGCACTACCACTTTGATTATCTGGTGGCTGTGGAAATGTTCTTGGACGTGGTGGTGCTAATATATTTTCTCCTTGATTCGACCATGTTGAATCTTTCCAATGATCAGCAACACCAGGTATATGCAATGGATTTAATGGACCACCAGGACCACTAACACTTGGTCCTTTAACATCAGATTTTTCCCATAATTTTTTGGCAGTCGATGCAGTTATCTAGAAAAATAAAAAGAAAAAAAAATTTAATAAAGTTTATTGAAAATTTTTTAAAAAATTTTATGTATTTTTCAACAAATTTGAGAGTGAATAATTTTCAAAAGGATTTTGAATTTAAGAAAGAAAAAAATTTCTTTTACTTTATATTTATTGAATAAAAGAGTAGTAGGCAAGAATAATTTTATTTTTCTCTTAATAAACTATATTAAAGCCCAAAAAAGAAAAGGGAGAACAAAAAACAAATCAACCGTAATCAATTAAAAAAAATTTTTTTTTTGAAAAAATTCCAATTTTAAATTTTTCTGTAATAATTTTAAAATAAAAGTTCACAATCAGCACACAATGACAAAGAAAAGAGAGAGAGAAAAAGAATTATTGCTCTGTTTGTTGCAGAAAGGTAAAGAGAAAATACCCCAAGTACTTATTATAATATATGAAAAATTATTGAAATAATGAAAATATGAACGGAATTTTGCAAAAAATAAAGAATAATTCTTTCTCCCTGTAAAGAAGTATAAAAAGTTCAAAGAATTTTACATTTAATTTAATAGAATCAAATAAATTAACTACTTTATTATCATAAATTTGAAAAAATTTGAAATTCAATTGAATGTTAAATTTTTTTGTAATTACAATTTCAATTACTCTTATTTTATCATAGAAAGTAATCGTCTAAATTGTTGAGATTTTTTTAAGGAAAAAACTTCGTTTCGAAAATATGGAGATAAAATTATTGTTAAATCAAATGAGTTTAATTGTTATTAAAATGTTACTAGTAATTTAAAAAAAAATTTATGTTTTTACAAATACTACAAATTCGTTCAAAAGATTTTAAGAGCAGAAGAACTCTAGTTCTTTTAAAAAGACTCTAGTTTACGTTAGGTTCACTTAAATCATTTATTAATCTATAACTTTGTGATTAAAGTAAAAATTAAATAAAATATAAGCCCCACTCGAGAAAATTATTTTTCATAACATATTCAGGGTTTAGACCCAAACAAAAACTAAACTGGCAATGATTAATTTTCAATACGATTATTCTAAAACAGAGCTCTATCGCTCCAACTACCTTTCTACATTTGAGTAGTCAATTGATCATAAAAATTTTCAAAGCTTCAATTGCAGTAAGAAACAAAATACTACGAAAATATTAAGTTAATTTAATTAATAATAGACCTATTGCAAGGAAATGAAAGAACCGCAGCCATAGTTTAACTCAATATAAATTGTTATTTAACTTAAACTTTGTATGGAAGGTAAACCGGAAAATTTTACAATTTCATGTGTAACATTTAAAAATATCAAAATTATTAGACATACTAATGTACTGAATGGTAATTAAAAATATAGTTTTCAATTCGGGCAACCTAAATACCAGCTTTAACCATATCGTTAGGTTGTACCGTAAATTGTATATTTTATCCGATCCGAACCAGATTAATTAATTTAGAAAAGTATATTCGAAATAAGTAAGTAAATAATAACAATGTACATAAATATATGTATATATACGCCATTATAGAACTAAGATTATATAAGGATATTAAAATTTCAATCAAATAAAAACAGACGTTCGAACAAAACAGGTACAAAAATAGAATGAAGAAAAAGCACAAATAGAATTTTATTTTCCTTCCTTTTTTCTTTTCTTTTTTGTGCAGTTCTCTTTTTTTAGCGAGTGCAATTTTAATTAATCTCAGACACCACAAACATTCATAGTAGCATCAGGTTGACAACAGGAAAACTGCTGACGAACAAAAATTCTTTGATTTCCTTTTCATCCGCTTTATTTTTAATTTTTTTTTTGTTTTGTTTTTTCTTTATTTTTGTCATGTTGGTTATTCTTAGACATTATAATATAGTTTCTTTCTTTTTTTGCATTGCAATATTTTTCCCTACAGGTCTCCTTGCATTTTAATTACTACAAAATCATTAAAAAAAGGGGGGAGTGGGAACAAAAACAAATGTGGAAATCTTGATAAATTAAATTTAATAAAAAAAAAAATTTACTGTTCAAGCAGAGTTAAGCGTTTTAACATTAAACCAAATTGTTATTTTTAAATATACTTTTATGTAGTTTTTGGTTTGGAACACAAATTGTATTATAGTAATTAAAAATAGCAAACCCAGTATTGCCGCAAAACATGATTCTCTTCAATTTAACAATTTAGAATTCAATCAAAGTGTCTATTTTGTTGCGATTGTATCAAATCAAATTCAAGTATGTATTTTTTAATAATTTTTACTTATAGCGATAACTTATGTTTTTCAAGTACTTAAACCTTGAATGTCTCCTGAAAATAACTTAGTTACGAGTATTAGATCAGATACAATAAAACACAGAGGCGAAATCTGAAAACTGCAAAGAATTTGGTTTTGTTAAACTAAAATCGAAAATTTAAAAGATTTTCTGACCCTGAAAAGCATTTTCACACTCTGTAATTTGATAAATCAAAAGAATAATGAAATATTCTTTTGAATTTTTAAATATTTTCCTGCACTCAAAATAAAAGAACAAATTCCGGCACAGATAAGTTGAAACTGTTCCGGAATTTTTCCTTTCAGCAATCACAGATTTTCATCTCATAAGAAGTCCAACTTTGCCAGGTTACTGTACTTTCAGAACCAATTATGTTTTTGTAAAGTTTTATAATTTTATGGGTTCGTTTTATTTCAAAAATGAATCAGTTTATTTTATCTGAAAAGGAAACTGCATGAAAAATCTGTTTAACCGAAAGTAAGGCAGGTATGTATGTATGTATAGCATTTTCATATTTCAATATGAAAAACTAATTTCCATTCAATATGATTTCATGTGACAACAATAATCCCCTTCCGTCCCTCTCCCGTTATATTTAAAATTCTCAATATGTTTCGTAAAAAAATTTCCATTATATTTTTAGAAATCGAATGGAAACAAATAACTTATATAACTATAATTAAAGTTATATAAAAACTAAATTTTTATAATTAAATTTTTGAATTTCAAAACTCATCACAAAAAAATGGAAATTCATAACTTTAAAAATTTTTTATCGAATTTCAAATTTTTCATTCAATTCTTTTATATTTTATGTGCTATCGCAATGAAAAAAACTAAAACAGATCGACTCCATAGTTAATAACGTAATCAACTATTAAAAAATGCAATCATTCATCATCATCACCCTTGACGAGTTTTTTGTATTTGAATTTAAAAGGAAATTTTAGAAATATTATTCGAGAAGACATACATACACCGTACATATACATTTGTACATAAATGATATTTCTAATAGAATTTATTAAATTTCGATTTATAAACATAAGCTTATTTTCATACTTACATACATGTATGGTATGCATACAATATATGGGCATGTAAATATCGTCTACGTTTGCATTGCAAATTTTCTTGTTTTTCCATTTATTCTATTTGTCGTTTCATTTTTTTTGTTAAACACTAGCTGTCTGATTTTAAAGCTACTCTACTATATACTTAGGTTCAAATCTGATCCAAACATTTATATTATATGTGTAAAAAGTAAAATTATATGAACGCGTATATGGCAACAATACGCATCCATATATACATATACATATAGAATATGTATAAGGACAGAGATACTTAAATAGAACTGTCTACCAAATGGAAATGTAAAAGTTGAACCATAACAGAAAGCATAAGAAAAAAGAGAAACAAACTAAAAAATTCTCGAAATATCTGCTTTTGCCTCTTATATTGCTAGACACAGAAAAAGCAAAAAAATAGTCGTTTCTTTGTCAAAATATAACTATTATTTATGAATATATATACATGTATATGTATGTATACAAGTACATATGAAAATACACAAATAACATATTGGAGACAAAAAAAAAAATTGCAAACACTTTAACACTCAGCAATAATTTTTTATTTTCTTTGTTTTTTTTTTTAAAAAGGATGTGATTTTAGATACCAGTAAAATGTTATAAAAGTAATATATTATATAATTTTAATTTAAGGGATACCAATTGATCAGAAGAAGGAAGTGAAAAGCAATCTTTATGATTTATGTGAAATACAAGTTTTAAATTAGTCTTTAATGATTTGTGTATTAAAAATTTGAGTGCCTAATATGGGCAATATGCCCAAAAGACGCATTTCCCTTAAACCAATTGGATATTATTCTTATACCATATAATACTCAAATATTTTCAAGTTGATATAAGACATAAGTTTACAAGACTTTAAGGCTAATAGTCTGTTTTAGTCAAATAATAGCTAAAGACATCATTTTATTAAAAATTGTAAAAATCAATTTTCACAACATGGTCAGAAAATTTACAGTATTTAAAATTATTAAAAAATTATAGTTTTGAAAACATTAAAATTTAACGAGTTATTGAAATTTTAAATTAATGAAATATGTTCAAACACTCAGAATGTTCGTTAAACCCTCAATATGTTCGATGAACTCTCAATATGTTCGATGAACCCTCAATATGTTCGGCAAACCCTCAATATGTTCGATAAATGCTACAGACAAAAAAACAAATGCTACAGAATAGATCAAAATTCATAGCGACCAAATTCGAAATTATTCAAAATAAGATTTATACTTCGTTTTGCATTAAAAACAATGAATGCTGACAACCCTAAACATATTAGACATTTTTTTTTGTTTTTGTTCTATATAACAAGCAAATATGTGTAATGTATAATACGTACATATACATATATATTTACAAAATTTGTCTAAAAGATTTTAGATATTGTACTCGTATAACGCAAAAAATTGTGAATGGTTTAATGATTGTAATCAAAAATCAAATTAAAGAAGAAATTCTCTATATATTCTATTCAAATTTAAAATATTCTTGTTATACAACATTACATTTTTTAAAGAATATTACAAAAAATTATGTTAAGTGGCCTATATGGACTAATGACTATCATTATAATAAATAATTTGTAAGCATATTTTTCCTACTGGATCTGCTAAAAAAAAAAAACGAAAGAAAAAATGTGTAATTGC